AAAGACACATCGGACAAGGGACTAATTTCTAAAATATTTAGGAAACTACAATACCTCTACAAGAAAAAGGCAAATAACCCAATTAAAAAATGAACACAGGACATGAACATACCTTTCACAAAGCAGAAAATCCAGGTAGCCAACAAACATATGAAGAAATGTTCATGATCATTAGCCACTGTTGTTGTTGGTATGTGCCGGGGAGTCAGTTGCAACTCATAGCAACCCGGTACAGGGTTTCCAAGGCTGTAAATCTTTACGGAAGCAGAAAACCTCATCTGTCTCCCATTTGAGAAATGCAATTCAAAACAACAATGAGATATTATCTCACACCAGCAATAACAGCAAAGATCAAAAAAGGAGAGGACAATAAATGCTAACGAGGATGTGGAGAGACTGGGTCTTTCCTTCATTGCTGGTGGGATTGCAAAATGGTCCAACCACTCTGTAAAACACTATGGTGCTTACTCAGAAAGTTGGAAATAGAAATACCTTATGATCTAGCAATTCCTCTACTTGGCTTATCAACAAGTAATATGAGCCATAACACTAATAGATATATGCACACCAATGTTCATAGCAGCACTATTTATAATAACAAAAAGATGGAGTCAGCCGAAGTTCCCATTAATGGAAGAATGGACAAACTTTGATACATACACACAATGGAATATTATACTATCTTGAAGAACAGCAAGGAAGCTGCAAGCCACCGAATAACATGGATGAACCTCAAGGACATTATGCTGAGTGAAATTAGTCAGAAAAGAGAAATACTGCATAGGACCATTATTGTAAAAGATTAAGAAAAAGTACCCACACTAAAGGGGGGAAGATTATTTGCTGGTGACTGGGGTATATGGGGGTGAGGAGCAGGGTGAGGGGAGGGAGGGCAAGGTGGAGTACAGTGTAGAGAATAGACAGGATACTTTGGGTGCTGGGAGGGAGCAATCCACAAAAAGGGGGAGGAGAATGGAAGAACATGGCAGATGGGAGAACAGTTAGGCAGGTTCATATGGGCTAAGTGGGACAGAGGTAAATAATGATGTATGCTCAACCCTAGAACAACAGGGCTGTGGGATACAGGCATCGTTTGAATGGGTAAAAGGGGGGAAATAATATTAAGATGCTTGGCTGTCTTTTGAATCTTGGTTTCACTTTATAAAATAGATACTTTAGGGGGAGAAAAAGAAATAGCCAGAAACATCACCATAGAAAGCTTGTAAGTCCGTCTTCAGCCTATAACTGATTGGAATACCTAAAATGGGGCTACAACGTGCCCAGTGAAGGAGGCTTCCTGCAGAGCCTTTGCATTGCATAAAACCATAGGTGTAATCCTGATCGCCATCCAGAATCTTCTAAGATGGGAAATTTCCACTTGAAAGGATAATCAGACCAGCCTGGAGTGGCAAGAGGAACAGAAGATACTTCTTGAAAGAAAGATAGGCAGGAAAAATACAAAACAATAATGGCATTGTGATTGACTACTACAAGAACAAGCAAGTTGTTCACCCAGGAGCCAGCAAGGCATGTGGTCAGGTCTCAGGGTACACCCTCTTCCAAGACTGCGACTCAAGGGTAATACACAAGTAGGCATGTGGTCGTGCTGGTGACTACATTGGTCACCAATAAAAGGAATTGGGGGGGGGGGGACAGCACTGAAGTTGTGAGCTAAGTCCAACCACATTCAATAGACTCCTGTCAACCCAGGTTGAGACCTGGTTGGCCAGCAGTATGGCAAGACCTGGGGACTCCCAGACCCAGAGACAGGGATATGGCCACAGAGGACTAGAGCAAGGAGTGAAGTGTCCAGCTGATATGAAGTAAGAGGAGATGCACAAGAACACCCACACTTGCAGATAATACCCATTTGACCTGGCTTCAATGGCTGGATGATCAGAACTTGACTACAAGAAGAAAGAAGAGGAAAAAAAGAGTAATCCACTACAATTTTATGAACTTGCCCTATAGTTATGGATGTAGTAGCTCAAAAGAGAGAACAAATCTTTACAGCGAGGATCATTCACACCTCCTTGGTACACAGGGTAAACAGGGATAGGCATCTTAGACATTGGCTACCCAAAATGGGGGCATTACAAAGGCAAGAAGTGACTGGCTTGCAAGCTTTCAAGAGGGAGTCTAGTTTCAGAGGGTGTGGGGAAGGTAGAATCTCCACTGAGTGGTTTCCAACCTGTCTGGATGGGGCTGATGAAAAGAGATGGGGATAAGACTTCTGTGGTTCAATAGTGAATTAACTGCTATCAGGACTGACTGTGAGTATTGGAAATGTAAAGGTAGACATTTTGTAACAAAAGGATGGGAGTGGTTGGTTTTGCAGTCCAGGAGCAGAGGTCCCTGGAACCATCAAAGGAGAAGAGCCAAGTACGGGACCCTATCCAGAGAAGCAGTGACACCAGAGATGGAGGCAGAGATGATGGCGTGGAGACATAGAGTGGCTGGGGACTCTGGACTCAGGGAGGGAATGGGTCTGTGTGCTGACAGTTGGCAGGGGGTTGGGGGCAGGCTTGCAGGGTGTACCCTTTGTTTCTTTGATGATGCGTGGATGATTGTAATCATTGCAATGAAATGAAATACAGTAGTATGAATATCATGCTAATGTTCTCCCATGTAAACTATCACTTAATTCACAATAAAAACTTAAAAAAAAAAAAAAAGAATAAGCAACTTGTTCACCAGGAAGCCATCAAGGCAAGCAATCAAGTCCCTTCAGAACAAACCCCTTCTAAGACTGAAACTCAAAGTGTACACATAAGCAGGCATGTAAGCTTGCTCACGACCACATTGCTCTACTGGTGAGTGGAAGTGGGGGAAAGGCAGCAATGAAGAAATGGGCTAAGTTCAACTACAGTCCATTGACTCCCATTGACCTGGAGATGAGAGAGGGAAGAAGAAGGGCTGGTTGGTCCGAAGTGCATTGAGACCTGTGGACACCTGAGCCCATGGACAAGGACATAGCCACGGAGGGCTAGAGCCGAGAGTGAAACATCCAGTTGATATGAAGTGTGGGGTGACACACAAGACCGCCCAAACTTGCAGATAGTATCCATTTGCCCTGGCCTTAATTTAAAAAAAAAAAGAAAATTTTTGATAAAGGAAACAAGGGTAAATTGCTACAATTTGATGAACTTGACCTATACTCATGGAGGTTGTTGTTGTTAAGTGCCGTCGAGTCGGTTCCGACCCATAGCGACCCTGTACAGGGTTTCCGAGGGTGTAAATCTTTATGGGAGTAGAAAGCCTCATCTTTCTCCCGCGGAGCGGCTGGTAGTTTCGAACTGCTGACCTTAAGGTTCGCAGCCCAATTCATAACCACTACGCTACCAGAGCTTCTCATGGAGGTAGTAGCTCAAAATACCAACCGAGAGGGAAGGAGTCTTCACATCAAGGATCAATGTTGTCCCCTCTGTAGATAGGGACATTGACATTGGCTATCTAAAATGAGGGGGTGATAAAGGCTCTAAGTGACTGGCTTACAATGTTTCAAGAGGGAGTTTAGTTTAAGAGTGTGTGGGGGAAGATAGAGTCCCCACTGAATAGTTTTCATCTTGTCTAGATGGGTCTGGAAAAAAGAGATGGGGCTAAGATTCTTAGGATTCAAGTGTGAGTAATTGTTATCATGAGTAATTGCGACTGTCGTAATTGTAAAGGTAGAAGTTTGGTGACAAAAACGGAGGAGTAGTTGATCTTATAGCCAGAAACAGAGGACCCTAGGACTATCAAGGGAGAAGAGCACAAGCAGAATGCGGGACCCTATCCAAAGAAGCAGCGAAATCAGAGATGGCGGCAGAGATGGGGATATGGAGAGAAGGGAGCAACTAAGGACTCTAGATTCATGGGAAGAGAGGGACTAAGAGCTAGCTGCCAGGAGGTAGACTTGAAGAATGTGCCCTTTGGTGGTGGAAATTATTGTATATGCCTGAGTGTTTAGAGGAAAAAAACAAAACAGACCTAAAATGAATAGAGAGAAATACTATTAACTGATGGTACATGGAGATTATAATCATTGTAATGAAACAAAGCATATGATTTGTTGAATGTAGAACTGATGATCAGCCCTGTAAACTTCCTCCCAATTCATAATAAAAACTTAAAAAAAAAAACGTCCTAGAAGTCCACCCACCACCACCCACTGCCACTGACGTGATTCCAACTCAAAGCGATAGCAGACTTTCATAGGGTTCCAGTGGCTGTAAATCTTTATGGGAGCAGACAGCTTCATCTTTCTCTTGCAGAGTGACTGGTAGGCTTGAACTGCTAACCAAGGTTGTTTATTGTAGAACTATGATCTGTGAATTTCTCTAAATCTTAAGAACCTATAGAGTATGATATGATTAACCTGTAGAAACTGTTGAATGGCTTTTATATTCCTACGAAAGAAAACAAGAGGAATACTGGTATAGCATTGTGGGATAAAGCAGTGGACTACACGTCAGTTTGAACCACAAGGTCGGTGGTTCAAAATCACTAGCCACTCCTTGGAAACCCTATACAGGGTCACTTTGAATCCAAACCGACTTGACGGCACTTAACAACAACAAAGAAAAAAGAATTGTATATGAGTAGATCTTGATTAACTGACAAGGACCAAAACTTTCATAAGATTGTCTTGAACTGCTCCAAGATCAAAAAAATGTAACAATTTCTGGTCTACTTGAACACCAAGACTGGGAGAGATTATGTCTTTGGATACTTTGAAACTCCATTATTCCGTAAATATATAAATATGTCTACCAATGCAGTTTGGCCTACAATAGATTAACAGAGGATTATTAAAGAGATGGTGCCTCCACAATTTCAAGTACTTTCAAGCGCCTTGGCTACACAAGTAGCATTAACCCAGCCCAATCAATGCTTTGAAATGATGTCTACAAATTTCCTACAAGTCACCTCCCAGCTCCCTTAGCATTTTCCTCAGTTTTGTGTTCAGTCTCACCATACACAGGGGCCTCACACTTGGTGGCTGAACTGGTGTGACTCACCACGTGCTCACTGATGTCACGACAGAGTGCGGGTCCGGACACCTGCTGGCTCTGATAATACTCCAATTGTTTTTCTGCCAGTTCTACCCTTTGCAACAGATTCTCAATGAAGTCCTGGAGTCGAGCTTTCCCTTGAACTTCCTTCTCAGCTGCTGCTTCCAGGAAATGGTTGAATGTAACAACTTCTCTGCAAGGAAAAACAAAACAAAACATCAGGACACCAAAGAGAGAAATGAAAAAGGAAATCATTCATTCAACATCTATGTGTGTACCACCAGGTACATGCTGGGTACTCTTCTACATGTTATGACCACAAATGACAAAAGAGATCAATTATTATTTAAATAAGTACATTCTAAGTAATGATTAAAGGAAGTAAGTCATCTCTGGAAGGTGCAAGGAGACCAGGGCACTGTCTGAAGGGAAGAGCAGTAAGAGTAAGGAGCATGGTAGGGTCTCATTGGTCACTATAAGGATTCTAGCTCATATTAAAAATGAGATGGGAAACTACTGGATGTTGTTGATTCAAGTTCTGAGTTACATTTTAAATATCTGGCTGTTGGCACAGAAGAGATTCCAGAGAAGCAAGATACCATGTGAATACCCAAACATAGACCTGAATCCAGTATCATATTTTTGAGCTAAGCATCAACAGTCTAAAAATTGCCTTCCAGAGGCAGGCCCAGGGCCCATCTGGAAAGCTACTCTAGCTTTGGTCCAGAAGCAGCAATGAGCAGGTTGACTTCCCCTAAAAAGTGCTTCAAACAGCATTCTTTTATAAATAAAATGCAATGCGGATTCACAGATGTACATGTTTTAAATGAGTTTGTTACTATTTAATATTTTCATTTGTAAAGAATGTACGGAAAATAACTTTTCCCCTGGACTGTAAACCACAATGTCAGTGGTTCAAACTTGCCAACCGCTCCTCAGAAACCCTGTACAAGGTCACTACAAGTCAGAACCAACTGGGTGGCACATAACAACAACAAATCCTCTTTGAAGCTAATGAATTCTATAATTCTACTACCCATTGAGGAGTCCTAGTGTGGCACTGTAGGACTGTTAACTGAAAGGTCAGTGGTTTAAACTCACCCACCACACCCTGGAAACCCTATATAGGGTTGCTATGAACAGGAAGTGACTTGCTGGCACTTGACAACCACCACCACCTAGGGAAGATTAGTATGCCTTGTCATGTGTCTTCAGAATCACTCTCAAATTTCAAGAGGCATTCCTTCATTTTCTTGGCCATGTTCACCCTATGTAACAGCAAAATTCTAAAGACTTTAGTCATTGTACCCAGTCTCTTTCTTCTTACATTAATTTGTCTTCATTTTTTCAATCTACTCTTAAGTAGTTCATATAAACTGTGAAACTCATTGTCTTCTCTGTTCCTTCTCAACTACTGCTTAATTTTTATTTCCCCACTAAGCACCATAATTTCTTAAGTGTGGAACTTCAAGAAAGTGGGGTGTGTCAGAGTTTTGTACACAAGGTCTTGTGGTTTCCAGCTCCTTGTTCCTGTACCTCCCCTTGCTGAGTCACTTTTACAATTAGTAGTGATTTTTCTCTAGGAAATATGTCACACTTGGCCATACTGGATTTTTTCTCACACTTCATACATAATCAAATATCACTATAAAGTCTTGTGAATCATACATTCATAAAAATAAAAAAGAGATTAGTTCTGATGGTGATAAACAAAGAACTGTTCAGTGTACCAGGTCCTTGTTTGCTAGTGTTCCAGCCAATCATATAATAATCTTATTATCTTTCTGTAGCTACGAAATAGCCACCTAAGACCAAAAAAAGTCCTTTTTGGTAACAATTTTCTTTTATCATTAAGTTTCAAGTTTATTTCTGGATGTATCCATACAAGTGCCCAATAGAAGACATGCATTTTCCAAGTGTACTAACTGCTCAAGCCATGAGTAGAAGCCAGTTTTCAAGCTCTATGGCATTCGGCTTTGGCATACCTCCTGTGTGAGCCACAAAATAGTGCTGAGTCCATCAAGATGCTATACACATGGTGCCCAGTTGGGGTTTAGACGCTTTTTCAGGGCATGAGTAAGGAATGAGTATTAGAGTCAGGAGTACAGCTAAGTCTAGGGTAGGCCTAGGACTTTATTAAGTGTTATGGTTACAATTTTTTGCTGTTGTGAAGTGCTGTAAAGTCAGTTCCAACTCATAGTAACCCTGTGTAGAGTTTCCAAGAAGCAGCTGTTGGGTTTGACCTGCCGACCTTGTGGTTCACAGTCCAGTGCTTGATCCTACAGCCCCACCCCAGGAGTCCATGGTTATTATTGCTACTGTTGTTAAGTGCTGTCCAGTAAGACCTGACCCATAGTGACTCTGTATAGGGTTTCCAGGGAGCATCTGGTGACCTTAAACCACCGACCTTGTGGTTCAAACTGACTTTACAGTAAAGCACTTTAACCCACAGTGCCATACCAGAACTCCATGGTTATGATTAGAATTAGGGTTAGGGTTATTAATTAATATTAGGGGTAAGGGTTGAGCTAGGGCTAGGAGTAAAGTTTGGTTTAGACTTAGGGTTACGGTTACATTTTTTTTCTCTCCCTCTGGAAGTCTGTTTGATTTCTAGTTTGGAAGTTCTGTAGCTATATTATTCCCTTTTTTTACTTTATGGATTTTGTTGTTGCAAATGTTTCTCTGGTTTCCTGTTTTCAGTCCTTTATGTTTGTTTGACTTTGCATACTTCCACATGATATTGTCATGTGCTGGAGACAACATTAGGGCCAACTGCCGCGTCCAACAATTGGCTATACTCCGCGACCTGCATGGAGAGATTAGAAATAAAAGAAATACACAAGACACAATTGAATTATAGCTAAGTTGGGGCCAGGTGGGCCACAGCACTCTGATGAAGATACTGGGATGCAGATTTAGACAGCGAGTTTATTTTAGACACAGCTCACCGGGAGGTGCTTGGAAGTAGGGAAAAGAATAACCTCAGGTGTTATGATGCATGCAGTAAGCGGGACTTTATCAGAAGAATGTCGTTTCTAGGGAAACAGGGCAGCTAGAATATTGTGTAAGCTGAGCCAAAGGACATAGCTAAACATAAGGCAAGACCTTGTAAGTTCCCTGTCCCCTGAGGCAGTCCTGCAAGTTCCTCATGGAGGGTAACTTTGACTTGGAAGCAGCCCGAGTTTCTGGACCACATCTGTTCAGTTGCAATCCTTTGGTTAAACTACCCCCAAGTCAGGGACCTTCGGCTCAGCTGCTCCCAACAGTCATGTCTGTTAGTCTCAGGTTGTCGTCTGCTGTTGTAACTTCTCTGTCCAAAGAACAACCTTTAGTATTTTTTCTAAGGTTGGTCTGGTTTTCACAAATTCTTTCAATTGCTGTTTTTTGAAAAACAACCTAATTTTATCATCATATTGATGTTTAAGTTTTGCTGGATATATATTTCTTGGTTGGCAATTTGTTTCTTTCAGAGTTTTATATATGTCATTCCATTGTGTCCTTGCCTGCATGGTTTCTGCTAAGAAATCAGACTTAGTCTTATTAGTTCTCCTTTGAAGGTAACTTTTCATTTTTTCTGAATTGCTCTCCGGATTCTTTTCTTTTCTCTGGTCATGAAAAGTTTGATTATAATATGTCTTGGTGGTTTTCTTTTGGAGTCTGTCCTACTTGGGGTTCATTCAACTACTTGAATGGCTACTTTCTTATCTTTCATGTGGTTAGGAAACTCTTCTTCCAACAACTCTTGGACAATATTCTCTATGGCTTTTGTTTTTTTCTCTTCCCATTCTGGAATTTTTACCACACATAAGTTTTTCTTCTTGCTGGTATCCCACATCATTAGGCTTTCTTCAGATCTTTTTTGTTCTTTTTTCTGATTGTTCCTCTGTTATTGTTATTAAGTGTTATCGAATCAATTTTGACTTATAGCAATGTTGTATACGGTTTCTGAGGAGCAGATGGTGAGTTTGAACTGCTGACCTCTGGTGCAAACCAACCTTGAAGTCAAATGTTTATCCTACAGTGCCATACCAGGACTCCTCTAGCAGATGATTATTAAAAGATTTTTCTTCAAGCTCAGCAATTTGGCTATCCAGTGATTCAATTCTATTTCTTTGTCTTTTTAATATATTACCTATTTCTGAAGTCTTAGTGCTCATCTTCTGACTTTCTAATTGCTGCTTTTGTACGGTTCCCATGTTATCAAGTATTTTGTAGGTTTGTTTCCAGATTTTTCCATAGTTTTGTCTGTTTTCCTTGAATTCATGTGCAATTTTCTTCATCATTCTCTCTATCCACTAAAGCTGCCTAATTAGCATTCTTTTAAATTCCATATCAGGTAGTTGTGATACCATTTCTGGTGTTATATTTTGGTCACTTGTTTGAGGTACTCTTTGTTACTTGTATAAGCTAAAATTGTCTGTTTTCTCTGAAACATTGTGGTGTAATATTTACATTTAACTGATGACTATATCAGGCTGCTAATCTCACGGTCAGCAGTTTAAAACTACCAGCTGTCCCGCAGGAGAAAGATGAGACTTTCTGCTCCCATAAAGATTTACAGCCTCAGAAACCCTGTACAGGGTCACTATGAGTTGGAACCGACTCCACGACACATAGCAACAACAACAACATATACTGATATATTCTCAGGCACTTACCACCTGTTCCTGGTGGATGTGGTAGAGATCGGAAGTGTGAGCACAGTTAGTTCTCTGTTCACTGTTTGTGTAGCATAGTTTGGGGCAGGTTGGCACACCTCCATAAGCAGGGGCACTATGCCAGGTGCAAGAGTGGGTGCCACTGGCAGCTGGGTTGTTGAGGGTGGGGTCTGGTCATGCTTCCGGCAACTAGGAAGGCATGGGAACAAGTGAGAATTGCACTCCCTTATTACCAAGCCACTGTATCAGCAGCTACTTGAAAAAGCTCAAAATGGCTGCACGGCTCCACACCAACCCACAGCTCACCGGTTTTCTTCTCTCTCACTCTTCCTGTTTAGCTTCTCTTCCATGTGACAATCCAGCACTCTGTTCTATCCTCTGTTGCTGAGGGTCCCAGAATCACCATCTATATCTGTTTCACTCAGTTTTGCAGATCTTCTTGCTCTAAAACTGTTTTAGATCCTTTTGATGAGGTATTTTCACAACTCAAAATTACCAGTGAAAGGAACCCAGGAAAATAATGGCTACTACTTCT